GCTCTTGAAAGAAAGCTTTGTTGGTGTTAAAAGAAACTTATACAAATAAGTTGATTAGGACAATCCATCACTAAAGTTGTTAGTAACCTTATTTAAAATTGATAGCTTTTCCTTAGATATCAATAGTGGATTGTATTTCATTTTCATATCCAACATGGAAACATTTATGGATGCCTCGTGGTACTAAGTATTTACCAAGTGACCACTTAATTTTATATTCAATTTTTGTACTATAAAGAAAGAAAGGAAGAGAAGGAATACTTAGATTTTATGTTCCAAAAATAACATGAGTGAGAGTAGCACCTTTGGACTAACTAAAATATCCAAACCAAATAACACTTGAGATTCATGGGTTGTCCTTGAAAGTTAAGATATCAACAAAAAGTAGTGATCATAAGAATAATAGGACAAGTGGTTGCATTTGAAATGTTGGAGATGAATTGAAATTGCATTCTTGAAAGAAGTACTATGAATAAAGGATGTTATTGCTATTGATTTACATGCTTTGCAAAAGTGATACATACTTGTATAACATTTCTCCAATAAAACCATAAGTAACATTTAAAGAGTTTTGAGAAGAAACTTATCTTTCACATTTGTAGTTTCTAAATATCATATATGTTATATTTACATCATTTTTTATAAGAGCCACAATTTTCAAGATTGTGAATAAAAATAGTAATCCATTGTTTTTTAAAAGAACAATTCCTTAGAAAGCAATATCTAGAGCAAGTTGCTGATAATTATCATTTTATCTCCATATGGCTAAGTGTTTAGATTATCATTGAATAATCCAAGCTACATTTTAGTTGTAATAAAATTGGATACTATATAGTCAAGGTTAACCTTTGTGATCTTTCCAACTTAAAGTGTTGACTTCTCATGATTGTCAAGAAAAATTTTTAAACTTATTAATTTAAAATAAACTTGGTAAAACTTTAAAAATTGGTATCAAAATTAAGATTGAAACCTGCAACAATCCTAATTATCAAACTTTTACCTATAATATAGAATCAACAATTACATCTTTGGCTGAGGGAGCATATGTTACACCCTTCAAAAAAACGTGAAGAACATCACAATCAAAAACTATATATTTAACAAGAAGTAAAAGAATGATTTTTCTTTAGGAGAAAAATGAACAAACCTATTGCATCCCCACCTATTTTACATTATATCCATAAGCAAACTTTGATTAGCAGAAGTCAAGACACTATTCACTTGATTGTAAAAGCACATCACACTGCTCACTCGGCCATCTTAAATGTAACTTTGGAAAAGCAGGTTATAAGATTTAATCAAGTCTTATTCACGCACCTGCGAGAAACTTACAAGTGAAAGCATTTCACTCACTACATAGTGCAAAACAAAAAAAAGAATATGAAAGGAAGAGAGAGAAGTTGAAAACTATACCTTTGCATTGAAGTAATTGTAAGTTCTTGAATTTGGACTTCCCACCCAGCCTAGAGATGCTTAACCCCAAATATGACCATTGACCAATTGGAAAAGGGGGTGCATGTTTATTCATAGGCCTTTTTCCTCTATATTTAAACCCCATGGATCATTTTTTAAGTCATTCTCTTTGGTTGCCTACAATCTACCACGCTTCTCTGTAAGTTTATGCCCTCATGAATAGAAGTCGAGAGCCCCATTCTCTTGACACCCTACCCCTTAGGTCGAGCTTAGTTGCAGCAAATTAAACCTGCTAAATGTTAATTAATATGTGATGTGATTCCTCTAAGTCAACTAATAGAGTTAAACCCAAGACCTTTCTAATATGAAATGTAAACTCCTAAATTTAAACTTCCCAGAAAGTCACCCATCCTAATATTTTACTTAAACCCAAGAACATTGAACCCTAAATATCCCAAAACACATACTGATTGAAAAATAAGATGCATTTTTATTCATGAGCCCTCCCTTTATATTTGAACTCCATTGATTGTCTCTCAAATTGTTCTCTTTAATTATTTATAGTAATATCAATCCATTTATGGATAAATTTATGGTCTTGTAGCTATAGACAAAATTCTAGAACATGACACAAAACTTTACATCTTTAATCAAGTAAAAGAGTGTAGAGTTGAATGAAGCTACAGTGAGTATCAACAATGAAAAAATTGTAGTAGCTAGAGTAAAATTGTCAAATTGGACTTTTGGACTAAAAGTTACACCTTGGAGAGTTTAATGCCACTACTAATAACTTAGAACTCTTAGTCATGTAAGTAACATTTACTCTCATCCACTTTTTCATCTAGAGTGAGCCTCAACCCAAAGTCTTGGATATAAACATCAATGCCAAGCTTAGTGTCACATAATTCCAAGGAAATTCTTTAATTGCATGGAAAAAAATCTCTATAAGCTCAAAGAGCAAAGATAGTAATATAAACTCTTGCAATAATTTTTAAGAATCCTTGTTACTATATTTATATTTTAATTTTCTTATGTTTATGGAGTGGAGGTTATCAACTATAAACTATAATTGTAAGAAAACAAAAGAAAAACTTTTAGAATTAGAATCTTGATAGTAATTTTCTAGGAATAAAATGTCCTCAACTCTAGTGAGTAAGAATTTCTCTCTTGTCTTTTTCATACGGCAGGGTGACACTATGCAATTCAGATGAAGCATCCTCGGAAAGCCCAGGTAAACATAGTGAATTTCCACTTGAGTTGCATGAATGCCTTGATTATAAGCACATCGCGTTGTTTTTCTTCAGGACTAGTACTTGTGATCTTGCAAATTGCAATTAAAGTACTTCGATTTAGTCGGGTATAGTTGCCGCAAAACATCCTCCTCTGCTGCCGCAGTGCAAGTGGCCGAGCAGCACAAACATTCATTCCCAACAAACACTGATTAGTTTACTCGTTTTGAAACATTACCAGATAGATAGTGTGGCGCTGGATTCAGGGGAGGTGCTCGTAACAATCACGAAAGTTCCAGTTTGACTCCAAACATCTCCCGTGTGATCTTCCACTTGCGAGCGATGTCTTGTTCTTCATGTATCAATCAAACGGAAGGGAAGTTGCTACCTCCAAAACTCGTTTGTTTCTTCTACAACAGTGTCGATACGATACGCGGAGTAAAAAAGGAAGCAATCCAAAAAGAGGATGTCCGTAAGATCACTACAGCTTAACCTCACTCTCGCAACTTGGCTCGGTGGTCTCTTCATGGAGGAATCCATGGCAGAAAGAGAAGGATCGTGAAGTCCGAGCTTTTGCAAATGAGGGAGCGATCGAGCGAAACGATGGCTGCCGCACACTGTGGATTGATCGATAAGTCTCGAGCTGGAGACACTGAGAATCCACCGAGCATCTCAACAGGAACTTTCATGATCATCATCACGCGCTTCAAGCACGGCCTAGCTTAACATCAACGACTTTGGGCTTGGCAAAGTTCTTTATGTCTCTCTCTCTCTCTCTCTCTCTCTCTCTCTCTCTTGCTGCTTGCTCGTGGATTTTTTAACGAATTTCTTCGTCTTCCGTGTGCTGCCGGGCTTGAGGAAATCTGTCCGAGAAACTGGGCATGTATCTTGTTTCCAGTTTGGGTTGCTTCGGACGACTTTCGTGCCGGTCGCCAGAGGAAAAAGAATTGTCATGGAAAAAACAATGGAACCTGTAAGCGCTCTGGATAACACGTTAGCTTGTCACATCCATGGCAAAAAGCTTAGACTTTGCTGGATGATCTGCGGCCTTGATCTCAGGCTAATGCCGTGCTGATCACATCAGCGAGAGGAATTTAAAGACTTTTCCAGTTGACAAGAAGTGGTGGAGTGATCGGGCAGTGATCCATCGACTTCGAGCGAAACATGGCATGGATCGAATCGTTCAAGTCCGAATAGAAAAAGAAAAAGGACGAGATGGAGATGGAGGGATCAAGGGAAGTGGAGCGCGGCAAAGTCAATCAAAGCCGGTCCCATTTCTTTCTCTCCTCTCAGATTTTTGCGCTCTCTCTCTCTCCTTCAAACTTTCTGTGTGTTTCTTTGGCTGGCAACAAAAACAAAGGCCACACATGGGGAGCTAAAGAGGGAACATGGACTCCCAGCGAACAATAAAAATAAGGCCCAAAACCTCTTGTCACTGCCCTCTATCATGTGCCGATTCCGGAATATTCTCCGGCAGCGAATATTCTATTATTCGCTAGGGTTAAGGTGGCACGATGTAAAAAAGAACTACTAGCATTGTCATCCCCTTAGTTTTTGATTTCTAGGTTTAGCTACAGTGGCGTTCTCTCTGTTATTCTCTTTAACAAAGCCCAATGAATGGAGTTTCAAACGTCGTACCCCGCGTACTCTACGCGGGGTTGGTTGTCACATAGAGGTGATCATGAGGAAGCACTACCAAGGATTGGAGGCGTATAATAAACTAGAGAGAGGCGTATGGTAGCGGTGGAGGCGTAGAGCGTACGGTGGCGGGTTCGAGTCCGGCGACGAGACCGCCGGTCCGTGGCTCGAGTCCGGCGCGGCGCGGCATCCGCTGGTCCGGGTTCGAGCCCGGCGTCCCCCAATGCGCTAGGGCATCGATTCTCGTTGATCGTGTTGGCAGCGCCTCGCAGCGGTGGCGGCATTGGGATTGTGACGCTTGCCCGGGCAATGTGTCGAATTTGAGGGGAATTTGATCGGGCAGCAGCAGCAGCAGCAGAGCCAGTATGAGGCTGCCTTGGATTGCTCTTCCAGGAAGAGGTCGAAGAGCAAGAAAACAATGAGAAGCACCAGACAGATCCATTCGAGGTATAGAAACTCTGAAAAGGAATTTGTGTGGAGCGGTTCTTTGCAGATTTCTATGTGAAGGGAAGATCCCTTTACGATTCGGCGGTATCTCCGAATGAGAGAGTGGTCCTCTTCGTGCGTTTCTAAGAGGCTACGAGGATTGGGAAGGAAGACAAGTTGGAAACTAGTGAAAAGTCTAAAAAGATTCGAGGGATACTATGCATATGCTTTTAGGGTTCTTTGCACATTAGCTTGTAATGGAGGGGGCGCGGCTCGCGATCGTCTCCGATCTCGATGGAACAATGGTACGCATCGGGTTTCTTCTTCAATGCGCTCTGGGCCGCAGATTATTTCCATGACTCGCTTCTGGTGTTCTCGACTGGAAGATCGCCGACTGATGAGGCGGGAGAGGACGCTGCTCACGCCGGAGGTCACGATGTCGAGATTGTACGGCGATGCCATGGGCGAGAACCAAACAAGGGGTGGGATAGGGCTGTTTGGAAGAGACTTCCAAGTTTCCAGAGCTTACATTCCAGGTAGAAAAATTCCATATCCTCTCTTTGATGGTGTTTACAACGGTTTTCTCTATCTCGTCCTGGTTTTTTTTTTTCTGTAGGAACAAACAGCACAGCGACCTCACAAAGTCAGCTTCAAGCTGAAGAAGGCGGAGGATCCTCGGGTTGTGGAGACACTGTTGAAGAGATTGATCGAGTGTGAGGCAAGTTTTTAGAGGATCGTTCGAAGCTTTTGTGATCTAATCCTTCTTCTTTTTTGTTCTTCCAGTTGGATGTAAAAATCATATACAGCGGAGGACAGGATATGGATGTTCTCCCTTGAGCAGCTGACAAGGGACAGCTCATGAGGGAAGGCAGAGCTCCTCAGAAAGTTCTTGTGATGCTGAGCTCTTTGCCGTCAAAGACGTTTCTGGAGTGATCGTAAGTTCTTGAAGTCGATTGATCAGCCACTCACTCACTGACGATCTCAGGTCGGGAATGCGGTTGAAGATCTTACGCAGTGGTACCTTGATAATGCCAAAGACAATCCCAAGATCTTTCGTGGCACTGAAAGATGCGCTTCGGGAATCTTACAAGCTATCCGAGAGTTCAAGTTTGATCCTTGTGTTTCGCCCAGGGATGCCGACTTACTGAGCCAGCTCACTGCTGGTTGATCGGACGTGGTGCTACTGTGTGAGATGGTTACGAGGCGAGGTTGAAAGCTCCCACGAGGTGTTTGAACACTTGAAAAGGCCAATGGTAAGTTCCTCGTATTTAGTACTTTTGGATGGTTGAGCAACGAAATGGCTGGCAGGCCCCTGACTCAACGCTGGTCACTCCGTGGGGACTAGAAGACGATCTTCGTACAAGCGTTGAGATTCTACGTCCCTCCACGGTATTCACAGGGGAAAGAACTTCTGTATGTGGGTTGATCGAATTCGTGCGACGAAGGTTGGGGACGTTACTTGGGTTGTCAAGTTTGATAAGTGGCAGCGAACGGGTACGTTAAGTTCTTCTTTCTGCGTCATATGCATTATTTTATTGCTGGTGCATTCCAGACGAAGAGCTGAATTATCGCTTGACAACCGCCGTGTGTTTCAATATAAGGTGGCGTTCTTATCGCTTTGTTGGAGTTATTCAGCTTTGCTTCAAGTTTTTGAGTGAGCAAAGGGCTCTCACCTCGAGAACTCGACAAGCTCTCTCGATTCCAAGCTTGGCTCCTTCGGTTATTCTTCTCCTCGTCGTCCCCTTTCAAGAGTAAGTTTTTTCTTTGCTTTCGTAGTTCTGAGCTTGCGATTCTTTCAGTTTGGTTGCGCCAGCAATCGGGATTCCGACGAAACAAAACGCTCCATAAGCGTGATTTCCAGAAAGAGTACGTGCCTCGCTTCCTTCCATGCTTTAGATGCTCAAATGATTCTTTCATTCCCTTTCGCTCGCATAAATTACTCGTGTTGACAAGAAAAGAGTTGAAGTGTGTGAGAGTGTGTGTAAGTGTGTAACTTACGACAGCTTCTTTTCATGTAGATTCCCCTGCATTCCCTGTCCTTTTGCTTCCTTTTTTAGTTCCATAGGCCAATGGATCGCTTGCTTCTTCTCTCCTCTTGCACTCTGCTGCGTCAGTTTCACTCGGGAAAACGTATTCTTATGTAATTGTTCGCTGGCGTCGGTGAGAAACGAAGGCTTTCCCCCTTTTCTCCAGAGATGATCTTAAGGCGCTGTTTTCTTGTGAGAATTGGTGGTGCTCCTCCCGCATTTGATGATTCCACGCCACCATTTGTCTCGTCATATGCTCATTGCCACTGTTCTTCCTCTGCTTCCAGAGCACAGGCGCCAGAAAAGTTTGAAGAGGCATTCTAAACTTGACACCATTTCCTCCAGGTATTTCATCTCTTGCTTGATCGTTTTCTTGACGATGTTCGCCTCAGGTAATCCAAGCTTTCAGACATGGTGAAGTTCCAGAAGCAGCTGGAGGGCCAGCTCGTCCCAGAGTGGGTGAAGTACTGCGACTACAAGCAGCTCAAGAAAGTTGTCAAGAGAATCAAAAACCAGATCCTACATACCAAGAACCAGCAGCACAAGGTGTTCGATCCAAATGTCTTCTCGGTTGACAAGAGCAAGCTTCAAAACTTGCTGCAAGATCCCAGCGCCATCCTGAGCAGCTGCTGCGAACAATCCATATCCTCGGAAACATCCATGGATGTTCTGGACTGTAAAGACGAAACAAAACTCTTCAATACGGTCAGGTTGTGCACAAGAGGAGAATTGCAGATGGCAAGGATTTTTACGAGACGGAGCTGTTTGGAACTCGATCGGATCACGAAAAGAGCTTCTTTTTCGGCCTTGACGATCAGCTCAACAAAGTGGACAAGTTTTTTAGATGCAAGGAAGACGAGTACGATGCTCAAGCACAGCAACTTCACATCCAAATGCAAGAGCTCATCGTTATGCAAGGTTTGTTATAGCAGCCTCTAAATCTGTAGCACTTAACTTGGAATCGTTTGATCTCTGCCATGTTGTAGATGACGAATCTCAGAGCTTGAAGGGGAGCCCCGGTAACAAAGGAAAGGTTCAGCGAGCAGCCAAGATGCTCCAGACGGCCTTTGTCGAATTTTATCGTGGGCTTCGACTCCTAAGAAACTTGAGGTGAATGACCTCTATACGATTGATCCATGTTCTCAAAGTGTTGAAAACTTACTTGGCAGCTCCTTGAACATGATGGCATTCGTCAGGATCCGCAAGAAATATGACAAGGTACTTATGGAAAATGGAAAATTACTGCAGACTTCTAAAAAGCTTTTTTAAATTTTCAGGTGACTGGAGTCTGGCAGTTACCTCAAGATGGTCGAAAACTCTCACTTTGCAACGTCGGACAAGGTGTGAAGAAATTTTCCTTTGGGGGTCTTGCTGATGGGATTTCATTGCTCCAATGCACTACAGGTAGTAAAGTTTATGGACCGCGTAGAGAGAGTGTTCACTCTGCACTTTACGAAAGGCAACCGAAAGCAAGCCATGGCATATCTCAGGCCCATACACTCTGCGAGCAATCATGGAAATATAAACTTTATCCTGGGTAAGAGCAGGATATCCATTTCATGCGGATCGTCCTTATTAATTAACCTTCTATCACCATTGATGATAGGACGCAGAGATTGTATACTAGTGGTTTCATGTCAATGGCATTGCCTCTAGAAAAGGAAAGCACTCACCATACCTCTGGGAATAACTGTAATCTATTCATTTAATTTTCAGCTAGAACTTTCAGAGATCACGGACCTTATCCTTTCTTCTTGCTGCGCTCTTTGGAAGGTTTGGTAGCCTCCTCTTCGGCGTTGTGGTCGGCTTCAAGTCTCGCGAGCTGCAAATCAAACAATGCTGTTGTGAGGATTCCTTCTTAAAACACCACTTTACCTTGTCAAGGACGGGTTTTAAGTTCTCTGTAGCGTGTCTTTGCCAAGTCAAATCCATCCTTCCTGAGCTCCTGATAGATGCATAGAGCATGAAGAACGAGCGAAAGAAAACCTGCGTTGTCACCTTTCCAGTGTGTTGGGTGTGATCGTAAGGTGCCATTTGCCAATACATGATCGTCCAAGAGAAAAAATCTCTCAGCGTTTCTCCAGGCTGAAAGACAAATCAATAACAAAACAGGAAGATGAACTACTATCAGCACTCACCAAAAGTGTTTGTTGGGAATCAGCCAGGCCCAGCTCGGATCAATCTTTAATTTCCGTGCTTTCTGTGTCACCTTTTTGCCTTCGCCCCTAAGAATAGCAGCTGCCTCTTCACAGTGACTCCACTGCATCCTAGAACACAAAAGGAAACAGACAAGTTTTCTTACATCCTTCTTTTTTACTACCTCGTCATCGTCCTCTTCGTCTTTTCCTTTATTAATCGATCCAGCATCACTGTTGTCACCATCAGTTTCGCCTTTCTCCTTACTAGCTTCAATCCACGCGCTTTGTGTTTCCTGCTTGAGACATTAGTATGAGGCTGGATGATGGCTCGATCATACTAACCTCAATAATGCACTTCCACACATCGAAGGTCCAGCGAGGAAAGGTCGTCGTGTCACTTTTTTTTTGCCGACTTCTTTCATACCTCCATACAGAAATAAAGTATCCTTTCCAACGACCATTCCAGCATTCATTCTTCCACAAGGCAACAACCTTCAAGCCGAACGCTCAACGTTGAGACGCATTTTCCACATTTGGATCAACCACTTTCCTCTGCTTTGGATGCACACTTAACCACTACACAATCTCAGATTGCCATACCTTAATCTTTAGGCTCTTTGGCTTGAGAAGCTCCAAAGGATACCTGCGAGCGATGGTGTTTAGATAATTTTAAAAAAATCGACGAGATACAAACCATCTGGAAAGCATATACATCTCGATCATAAAAACGCTGTGCAGGGAATCACCTGCAAAAGACATTAGTTTTTCCAACGCATGCATTGAAACCGTACTCATCAGCATCAACTACACCACCAAACAAGATGTGGACAAAAATCCTGCTCTTGGCCAGGAGCCATACCGGATTTTTTCACCTTCACAAAACACATTGAAAAACTAAAACTCCAAACGAGAATGTAAAACAAGCACAGGCTCTTTGAAATAGCCACCGTACAAGAAAATCTAGAAAAGAAAAAATGTTCACAACACGCAAAACTATACTTTTAGTAGACAAATACCTCATCTAAATAAACAGCAAGCTGAGAACCAGTTCCAGCTGAAGGCCAGGCAGCTCCAAGCTTGGGTTTTATCTCTTGCCACTGCAAAAGGAAATCAGTTTAGTTGTTAAAAAACAAGGAAGAACGATGAGCGACAGAAACAAACCTTATAATCGTCTAAATCCAGCACTTAAAGATTATTGAAGTACCTGTGTCAAAAATTCAATACTAAACATTTACACTGCTGAAACAGCCGACCTTTCTTCCCTCAGCGTGTCATAAAATCCACCAAATGGAATCATTTTATGTTTGTTTATGGTCTTGTCCTTTCCGTTTAATTCCTAAATTAACTCTTACATTACAGCTCACTTTTTACTCGTGCTCTCCACTGCCCCTTCACTGACAAAAAGGAAAACAATTGAGAGTCTTTGGCCAGAGATCGCATCGATATCATCCTCGTCTAACACCTTGTCGTGGCGACGAACTCGCTCGGTCTTCTCTTTTCCCTTTCCCCTTCTTCCCCATTTTATCTGTTCTAAACCCTAAACTAACTCGTGCTTACTTTCTTATCCACAGCTGGGAGAAGTTTACTCATGATCACTCGATCTAGGGCAAACTTCCATGGAGGAGGAGCGACGAGTGTGGATCCGCTGTGACTCTGTCAAGGAGATCAAGGAGGCTCTCGCAGCGAAGCGGGGCAACAAGCGGCACTTCAATGCGATTCAGTTTAATTGTGGGGAGCTTGTCTGGAGGCTGGAGGCGCTTGACGCATCCAAAGGTGAGTTTGTTGATGAGGTGAGTGCTACCGTTGAGGGGTTTGGAGGCACAGAGGAGGATCTGATTGGTGTGCTCAACTGGTGCATTTCAAATCCGCCCAGGTTAGACAGGGCTCTGGATGTGGGAGATGCTCCTGGTGATGGCAGTTCGTCTGCTGCTGCTGCTGCTGCTGCTCACATTGACATTCTCAAGGCCGCTTTGGTACCACAGCTCGACATCAGATTCATCCACTTCGCTGCCAGGGTCGCTTGTAGGTTGGGCATTCCCAGTGATCGAATGCAAAGGGTGGCAGAGGGCATTGCTCCTCCTCAGCAGGGACAGGATATTTGGCAGATTGAGGTGCAGAGGTTTGCAAAGCTACTGACGATGACACAGGAATTCAAGGTCTTGAAAGGGCTACGTTTCGATTGGCGAGGCAAAGACATCCTCACACCACCTCAGGAGCTTGAGTTGGCCTTTGCTCAGCTCGACTGCTTGACAGAGCTTTGGTTGTACAGGGTTGGGAACCCAGAGACTCTCCTTAGCCAACTCCTTAGGAAACCAGGAAACAACTTGAAACGTCTCCAATTGCTGGGGAACAGGATGACAGTGGAAGGATTTGGGAAATTGAGTAGGGATCTGGCAAGTCAGGAGTGCAGGGTGGAAGAGTTAGTCATCGAAGATAACCACATTGGCAAGGAAGGGTGGGAACAGGCATTTCAGAGTGGCATTTGCATTAAGCTAGTAAAACTGGTGGCAACGTTTCGAGAGGAGGCAGGTGAAGCACTCTTCAAGGCACTCACTTGTTCAAACTGTTCGCTGCAAAGACTATACGGGCGCGGACCATACTTGAGCTCACGAGTTGAAGAGTTGAGCTCACGAGTTGAGGTCAATTTTCAATTGTAATTTAGTACGAACATTATAAATTTTAAAATTTTAAGGTTATGGCGAACCTAATAATTTAATAACTCTCTATATATTATATAGATAAAAATGTTCTAAAGAACACATTTTGTTCTAATAATTTAAATATTTACTACATGCAATGATAGGAAAACTACCAAAGCCTCGTGGAAGTGCTTGAGCTAGGTGATGATTCCGAAGCTTCTGAAGCTTTCAAGCAAGTTTCCAGCAGAGTGCATTCAAAGACTTTGACAACCCGTCAACAGCAAATGTCTTCTTGTTTGGTGCTAGCAGGGTTGGAAAGACCACAATAAAAAAAAACCTCTGCCGCAGAGTGTCTTGGTTTCCATCATGTCTCCAAAAGCATGCTTCAACAGCAGGCATTGAGCTGCAACCACTTGTCTATGCGACCACCAAACAAAAGCTGCTCATTTGCGACCTGGCTGGACAGGAAGAGTTCCATGCTTTCCACCAGTACTTTCTCAGAGGAAGTGAGAAGGATCTCTTCTTGATCGTATGCAAGGTGGAGGATGGCAATTGTGAGGTTTTCAAGCAGAATTTGGTTTACTGGCTGAGGTTCATCGCTTCACATCAATCAGCCTCACCCAAAAGGAAGCCCAGGGTCTTGATTGCCTTGAACTTTTTCACTCCAGAACCCGACTTTGACCCAAAGGAGGTGGTTTCTGCAATAATCTCCGACAAAGGCTATCGGCAAGTACTTGAGTTTGGGAATGACTTTTGTTTTGAGGTGGTGGCCACTCAAGTGAAAGATTTAAGGGGGATAAAAACCATGTTGGGGAGTTGCTTGGAAGAACTGCTGTCAGCCCAGCAAAAAATACCACGGGAATGTCTCAAAGCAAAGAGGAAATTGGTACAAGATCCAAGTCACAAGAAGGTCATACCCCTAGAAAAAGTTGGCAAAATCCTCTTGCCTCACAGGAGTTCCAAGAATGTTCTCAAATTCATCTTGCAATTTCTACATGATTCTGGTGATGCAATTTACTTTGGCTTGGGACATGAAGAGGACGACATTGTGTCTCAATTTGCCATCTTAGATGTCCAATGGTTTATCAAGGATGTGGTGCAGCTCTTCATACATACTGAGACAAGCAAACTCCAAAGTAAAATGGACACACACATAGTTAAACATCAGTTGAAGCAACAATGTGGGAACGAAGACAAAATAGTGGAGTACATTCTTGGAGTGCTCCATGAGATGGGAGTGATATTGCCTTGGGATGATAAATGGGATGGGAATTGGCATAACTTGCCCAAAGAGCTGATAATGCCAACATTATTGCAAGAAGAATATTCACCTCCAGAAGATTTATTGTCACCCTCAGTGCCAATTGACACTCAAAAAAACCACAACTACTGGGGCAGGAGGTTTGAATGCAAAGACAAGGACTTGAAATTGTTTCCTGCAAGTATTTTCACAAAGATCCAAGTTAAACTTCACAAATTAAGCAAGAAAGGTTTCAGGCTTGGGAATGGATGGGTGGCTTTGAAAAAAAACCTTATTGAGATAATTGTGAGAGTTGGGGGAGACACAAACAATTGGAAAGATAGGCAATGGGTTGATGTCATCATCTACTACCCAAAAGAGGTAGAGAATGCACCAAGGCCGGATTTAGAAAAGGAAGCTGAAGGATGGATGGAAAAAATTAGAAATTGCATTATTGGGGTATGTATGGAGGATTGCCCATCTTTGGAAATTGAAGAAAATGTGATGAGACGTGGTTATGTGTGGAGAAGGATACTAAATAATGTGGGCAAACCAAAATCATGGGATGCAGTTATTTATCCACTAAAGAAAGTCAAATATGAAGCAAGAGAAAGAGGTCTAGAATACTCTCACACTTGGAATTATTCACATGAAGTAGAGAGTTGGGATGTGATTAACGATTTGAAAGTCTCAGATGAGAATGCTTTGGCCAAGTTATTGATGCCTAATGAGCAAAAATATGAAGTGGTGAATAAGTTTGTTGAGCTTCATGAACTCTTAAAGGACTATGAGGAGGTTGGAGAAGTCACAATTCCCAAAGCATCATCAAATGTTGTTGAGTTTCCAAACATTGAAGACCCAAAACTCGATGCAATCCTCAGATATATTAAGAAGATGTTTGATAAAATGGAGAACCGTTTTGACAAGTTGGATACAAAACTTAATGACATTGAAGTAAGCGTTAACGAGCTCAAGAATGGACTCAAGTCTATCATAGATAAAGTGAATGCAATCCATACAACGTGTTTTCGAGTATTATTGAAATTGGAGACAGATTGCCCAAAATATCCATATATTCTTGATGAGAATAATATGTGGAAAAATTACAGTAAAATACTGGGAACACATGGTAGACTTCACTACTTGTGTGAATGGCCTGAAGGAACTTCTAAAGGTCATCAAGTGAAGAGTTCTATAGGTGTTGAATTGGATCTCCCACCAAACTGGCTCAAGAAATTTGCTCTAGTACTTAAACATACATTGATCTTATTATTTATTGGGGCCAAAGTTGGAGGACATTTTGCTGGTGTTGGACCGATAGTGAATGCAATCGTGGATGAAACCAAGGGAAGGCTTATAAGCTTTTTGGATTCATGTCTTCTCAAAAGCAAGCTAACTACAAATCCCAAAGCAGAAGATGTGCAAGAGATATTTAAGCTAGTGACAACTAAATTTGGGAAAAAAGAAAAACAGGAGACAATCATGGAAAAATATTTTGCTCTTCATCCCATAATCTTGGAGGGAAAACAAATATGGGTTTGCAAAGGTATTTAGCATTTAAATTTTTTATTTTATTTAACAAACACCATTCTAAAGCAGATCATTAATCTATATTTTTATGAGGTGGTTTAGCAAAATGAAGGTAAATAAATATGCTTTATATA